TTTTTTTAAAATAGATGTTCTTAAGCTGCACCACCCCCCCCCCCGACCTCCAGCACTCTTCCTCTAAACGCTAAAAAGTGATTTCAGGAGCAGCCCCACCCCCATAGATCCCACAGAGTCTTATTTATAATTCTTCAGCAGGGAGACACCCTGTTGTTCCACATTTTTGATTACCTGGAGAATGGTAATACACCAATGAAATTTCTAAACCAAGACCTATTTGGGATGTGTAACATTCACATGTCAGGCGGCTATTTGTGCAACACTATGAATTGTGGGAAATACAAGTCTATCTTAAGAACTAGGAGCTGGGCATAGTTGTGCACCCATGTCTAAATAAAAAGGACTGAGAGCCGGGGATTTAGCTCAGTGGTTCCAGCGCCTGCCTCGCAAGCTCAAGGTCCCAAGTTCGATCCCCGGTACCAAAAAAAAAAAAAAAAAGTACTGGAGAATGTAGCTAAGTGGTAGAATACCTTTGGGTTCAGTGCACATACACACAAAGGAATCCTTTTGCTAGCAGGAAAGGTTGGTTTTTAAAATGCAATTTAAAATCATAACCACGAACAACCTTATTCTTCAAAAAAGCTAAGGTGTCAAAGTGTACCATAATAGCTAAAAATAGCAGAAACATAATTTCTATTAACATTCTTTTGAGACTTTGACATTTGTACTAATCAGTCTCTTGTAAGAAATAAAAGAATGAGAAGTAAACTTAAACTAAGAAATTGCCAAGCTGAGCATGGTGACACAGGCCTGTAATCCTAGCAGTCTAGGTGATTGATGCAGGAGGATTGCAAGTTCGAGCCCAGCCCGGGGGCTTAGTGACTTAAGAAGATTCTGTCTTAAAATAAAAAGGGCTATAGCTCATTGTGGAGGCCCTTGGGTCACATAGTGGTGAAAGTGAGGGGAAAAATCTTAAGTTGGATCTGTTTAAGAAAGAAGAGAAAAGGGGCGGGGAGAGAGAGGGAAAGGAGAAAGAAAGAAAGAGAAAGGAGAAAAGAAAGAAGACAAAAACCAGCAAAGGGTTACACTGGGTGCAAAAGAGTAAGAAGTTTGGCGATGGGTAGGGTTTGAATTGTGTTGGGGAAGTAGTAGCAGTTTATGTGGATAGTATGTCCTGGAGCCTCTTTTAGCAGTTCTCCTATTTGTGGGAGCTGAAAGGGCAAACAAGATAGGAAGAGAATGTAATGAACACTGAGTTTAGTAGTCACTACCCTGTGGCAGAGAGATCAGACCAGTTGATGACCTAGCCAGGTGCTTACTCTGTTTCCCAATCTCCTGGTGTCTCCAAAACATGGGAGCAGTTGAAATACTCTTGGTTTAATCCAGCTTGTAAAGAAGAGTTATTCAGGGCAAACTAGCTTTGGAACTTCAGAGTTTAATAAAAAGTCTAGTCTAGTGTGTGTATTGCTGGAAATTGAACTCTTGAGTGCTTACCACTGAGATACACAGCCCCAGCCAACAGGCATTCTAGGTGACAACTTGGGGTTATTATAGTGAAGCCCCTTGTTTTAACACTTTGTCAAGTTCATGCTTAAATTCAGCTTTTCACTATTTGAGATATGATCAAGTTGTCCATCTTGGAAATGTTTTTCTTAAAATATTTGTTCTTCTGATGGGGAGCAAATTTGCAACTACATCTTGGTTGTACAGTGGTTCCTTAGGGCCTAGTTTGTTTTTTAGGTACTGGGGATTGAATTTAGGACCTTGTGCTTGCCAGGCAGGTGTGGCGCCCTTGAGCTACATCCCTGACTCTTAGATCTTAGTTCTGATAGCTTGTCCTGTTTTTGTTTGTTTTGAGACAGGGTCTCACCTTGTAGTTCAGGCAGGCCTTGAACTCACTGTGTAGCCCATGCTGGCCTCCAATTTGAAATCCTCCTGCCTCAGCACCTCCCCCTCCCCCCAGTGCTGAGATCACAGGTGTCTGCCATCACGCCCAGTTTATGTTTATATTTTATTGAGTAAAATATTCTGCTACAGGTTAACTTTTTTGCTTGAGGTTACTCGTTTTCCTATGGAGAAGCACTGTGAAAGAGGTTGTTACAGCTAGCTGAGAACTAAGTCTTGGGTTTGTTGTAGTGAGGTAATTTTGGGTAGTGTCTAAAATGAAGCACAGTTGTCTCTCAGGTCAAGTACATTTCTTTCATTGTTTTGGGTTTTTTTTTTGTACTGGGAATCGAATTTGCTAAATCCCCAGGCCCCGCCCCCCCCTCATTTTTTTTTTTTTGGTACTGGGGATCAAACTTGGAACCTTCCGCTTGCGAGCCAGGTGGTGGCATCACTGAGCTAAATCCCGGGCCCCCCTCTTTGTTAATGGACAAAGATCCTGATTGTCACATGGCCTCTAAATCACAGCTTTTGGCTCATCTGTCGTATTTCTGTACCAACTTGCCCTGGCATACACTAATTCTGATGTTGCTGTCTTGGTTAAACAGGGACAAAGTAGGCAAGAAAGATATCTTTTAGAATGTGTACTTTAAAATGGCATGTGTTTTTCTTGTGTTATTTCAGTTTCTAGTACTAGTGAAAAAGAACATTTACTTTTGTGCTTAAGAAAATCCTAGCAAATAAGATTTGTTAAACTTAAATGAGTTTATTTGAGCAAAGTAACAAACTGTACAAAGTGATTTGACTTGCAGCTGAGTCTGAATGTAGAAATCAATCAGACTTTTGCCCAGAGGCAGGAGGATTTGAGTTGAAGCAAGACCATGTCTCAAAATAAAATAAAAAGGGCCGGAGAATGTAATTCAGTGTATCACCCCCGAGCCTACCCCGTTCAATTCCCAGTACCACCAAAAAAAAAATCATGTTTCAATACTTGGTCTAGTATTCTTCTCAGCCAGTTAAACAATCAGCCAGTTAAGCAATCAAAATAACTTTGCTCACTGCTTTTGGTACAAGTTTGCATTTTGTGAGCCCAGGCAAATCTTATGAAAAGACATAGTAGTTTTTTTTTTTTTTTTGTACCAGGGATAGAACTCAGGACCATCCTCTTTTGAGGCAGGAACCACTGAGCTAAATCCCTGGCCCAACACAGTAGTTTTTAATTGCTTTGGAAAAGTTAAAAAATAATTATAGGAACAAAATTGGAATAATGTTAATGAATATGAAAGTCTTGGGGAAAATATTTTATTAGCTGCCTTGTCTTTTTTTCAGTTTTGACTCATTATTCTAGAAATTTGAATAAACAGTGCCAGTAAAGCTTAATAAGGAAAACTGGCCACTTTCCCATTTTTGTATTTTAGAGGTTTTTGAATACATTAAACTTTCGCATGTCATTTACTAAATGAATAGTCAACGTAAAATCCTTTCTGGTTAATGGAACTTTTATTTTTGGGTCCCCTGGCACTTTACTGTATCTTACCTATCTTAGATCAGTCAGAACTATCAGAACTACATGAAAGTGAACCTCGGTTTTTTAAAGACTGTCTTCATTTTACCTTAACTGTTTAACCCAGAACTGCCACGAACTAGTTGATGTTTTTTATTTCAAGACACTTCCAGATCAAATCAGTAGTACCTGAAAGTTCCTAGCATTGTCAGTAGTTTGGAATTTGAGGAGGGAGGGGATTATGTGAGGTAAGGCAGTTGTTTTGCTGAATTCCTAATTGCAGGGATGTACTCATTTTTATCACACTGTGCTGTGGGCATGGCCCTTAGCCTGATCAGACATTGGTTTGATTACTTTGTTTTCATTGCATGCCTTCAGTCCACCCTTTCAAACTTTGAAGTGATTTCGGAAGTATATACTATCTTTCCTTTGCTTATCTGATTTTGTTACTATTTATGGAATAATCTCTTTTGTCCTTATTCTCTCTCTTCTGATTAGTTTAAATCTCTCAGATATGAAGATTTAAGCTGCAGGTAGAGTCTTACACCTTAATCCTAGCACCATGAGAGCAGAGGCAGAGGACCAGAATTGGAGCTCGACCTTGGATCAGTGCAGAGGTCCTGCTAGGTTCACACCCCAGAGCTATAAAAAAGAAAGAAAAAAAAAATTAAAAATGAAGGTTTAGCTACCTATCCTGTCCAAACAAGATTTGGCACGTTAGACCAAAAAGAGATGTATGGGTTTTCCTTTCTCCCATGCTGTGTATAATAGTTTGTGCTCTTATATCTGTTGTATTAGCTTTGAGAAGTTGAGACTTTAGCAGGCATGGTGGTGCATGACTATAATACTAGCACTGTGGGAGTTTGAGGCAGGAGGATTGCAAATTCAAGCCAGCCTGGGCAATTTAGTGATTTAGTGAGATCCTGTCTAGAAATAAAAATTTAAAAAGGACCGGGGCTGTAGCTCAAAAAAACCTCTCAAAACCAAAAAAACTTAGGCAGCAAAGTATATTACCAAGAAAGTGAGAAAACAGCCCACAGAATGAGAGCAAATATTTATAATTAATATATCTGATAAGGGATTAATATCTAGAATATTATATAAAGAACTGTTAAAAGTCAATTAAAAGATAAATAACCTAATTTAAGATGGAGTAGAGGATTTTAATAGACATTTCTCCAGAGTTTCACAAAAGGCCACTAAGCACATGGAAAGATGCTCAGCATCATTAGTCATTAGCAGAGAAGACCACCATGAGATCCCATGTCACATCCATTAGGAACAAAAACAATGGATAATAATAAATGTTGGCCAGAATGTGGAGTAGCTGGAATCTTCATACATGGGTGGTGTGAATATAGAATGGTGCAGCTGCTTTGGAAGATAGTTTGGCAGTTCCTCAGAAAGTTAAACATAGAGTTACCATGACCTAGCAAATTCAATCCAAGAAATGAATCTACCAGGAGAGTTGAAAACATGTCCATGCAAGAAACTTGAGCACAGATGTTCTTAGCAGTATTATTCATAATAGCCCCAAAATGGAAACAACCTGAATGTCTGTTACTCAGTAAATAAAAGGTGATATATCTGTAGATGGAATGCTGTTCAGCTTTAAAAAAAGAATAAATTAGGCTGGGTGTGGTGGCGCATGCCTATAATCACAGCACTTGCTGAGGCCGGAGGATCACTGTGAGTTCAAGGCCAGTCTGAACTACATAGCCAGACCCTGTCTCAAAAAGACCAAAAAAATAAAAAATAAAAAAATAAACTGCATCAATGAAACTTGGAAATATTTCAAGTGAAAGAAGCCACATATGGCCATATATTATGATTCCATTTATTTGAAATGTTCAGAATAGGCAGTGCATAGAGAACAGACAGTGGGGAGGCAGGAATGGGGAGTGACTGATGATGGGCACCAGTTCCTTTCAGGGAACCATGAAAATGTTCTGGATTCAGGTAATGGTGATGGTTTCCCAACCTTGTGAGCATATTGACAAGCACTGCATTGTAAACTATAAAGAGGTGAATCTTATGGTATGTGAATTATATCTCAAGATCAAAAGGAGGAAAAATACAGAAATACTCTTACAGTGTAGAAAGAAGACAACCCAATAAAAAAATGGGCAAAAAATATCAAGTGACATTTCATAATCATAAGCCTTAGTAGTTAACATTTGAGGGCTGTATGTCTGGTCTTAAGCACTGTACGTAAAACTTAGTTTATATAATCTTAGGCGAGTACTGGACTAGCATTTAGACTTGGGAGCTGTCTCTCCACCATACTGTGCGCTATAGTCAGCCCACACCGGATCCTGCAGGCGTTTGTGTGGATACTTTGTCGCATGGGGCTCACTAACCATCTGCACCATCTGGACCGTGCCTGTCGCTGTCCTTTCCAGATCCATTAATGAGATGAAAAAGTTGGAGGAAGTATCAAGTATATTTCAGAGCTCTGGAGTTGAGTGCCACCCTCCAGAGCCAAAATCCCAAACAGAAGGGAATGAAGACTTGAAGGACAAAGAGCAGCCGTGGGAGATGGTGATGGACAAGAAGCACTTCAGGCTGTGGCGGCGCCCCATTGCGGGCACCCACCTGTACCAGTACAGAGGTGAGTGGGCCGGGTGGCCTCTGTGTTCCGGACTGCTCCTCGGACTTCTCTCAGCTCTCCATTTGGATGGTTTCCCTGAAAATCTGCCATGTTTATTTCATTGTTGTTATCTTCCTCTCACAGATGACCAGCTTTCAGTATTTACCTCATTGTAGGTTATCTTTGTCTTGGCCCAGCTGGCTTCTGGCTTCTGCACCTGCTCTTGCAACCTGCCGGTCTCTAGAACTGCAGAGCAGCTAGGGATGGGGACAGGGTGAGGCATGGGGGTGTGGCGAGTGTCTCATTCTTTTTTGTCATTCCAGTTTTTGGAACCTACACAGATGTGACACCTCGGCAGTTCTTCAATGTTCAGGTGAGTTAGTTGCTCTCCAGATTTGAAGCTTCCCAGCAAGCCAGTTACCACTGTCTATACAACCCCAGTGACATTGGCTTTCACATACCTGTGTTGTACTTCTCATCCTACATCACACAGCATTTAGGTACACGCGCGCGCGCGGCGCGTGTGTGTGTGGTGCTAGGATTGAACTCATTGGGTAGATGTTTGACTTATAATTTCTTTATCTGTTCCGTGGAGATGAGACTGATTCTATCCACCACTACTGTAAACCCTCAGCTGTTTTTTCGGGGTTTTTTTGGTACCGGGGATTGAACTTAGGTCCTTGTGCTTGGACAGCAAGCGGTGGAACCACTGAGCTACATCCCCAGCCCCAACCCCCAACTGTTGAGGAGAATGGATTTGAAGGTTTTAATATTTTTATAAGGTTTTGTTGTTTTTTTCTATACAGTTTGAAGGTAAGGTACATGTATCGTGGTCCTTTATTCCTAAGTCTGTCACTGTATGTTTGCTAAAACTGGACATGCTTTCTTCATTGTGTCACTGTGGTACCATTATTAGTTAGTGAATTAACGTTGATGCAGTGCTTTAATGCAATCTTTTTTGTGTGTGGTACCGGGGATCGAACTTTTGAGAACTTGTGCTTGCGAGGCAGGTGCTGGAACCACTGAGCTAAATCCCTGGCCCAGCTTTAGTGTAATCTTGTTTGTGTTCTAGTTTTACCAGTTGACCTTCATAGAATTTTCCTGTTCAGTATAGATCCAGACCGGGTTACATTTAACTGTATTTCTTTAACCTCTTTTTAATCTAGAACATTTCCCTGTGAAGGTATTTAGTGAATAAGAATGAAGAGTTTCTGTTCAAGGACTGTTTTCCTCCTTGGGGTTGTGTACATGTTTAAAACAAAGTGAGAAGGGGAGGCGGCCCCACCCAGAAATTTTCCTTTCTGGTATTTGTTTTGCCAGACTTTCAGTAACTGGTATATTGATTATAATACTATTAGTAACATGCAAATGCACCTTCACCTAAGCACTGAATTGTATCAGTCTGTATTGTATTTTTGTTGGTTGGGATGTGTAGTTATGTCTGTCTTTGAAATTCCTCAGTAGTGGTATCAGAAATTTACAATATGCTGCTTGTATTTCTTTGTGTGAGGTATCTGCTTATACTTTGGGATTTGTTTTGTCTGTTTAAGACTGTTTAGAATAGTGAATTCCTAACACCACATGTTGTCTTCCTCAGATGTGTATTACAATTTTTTTTCTTTGGTTTACTTTTTTTTTTGGTTTTTTGAGAAAAAGTCTTCCTTTGTAGTTTAGGCTGGCCTTGAACTCACTCTGTTGTAGCCCATGCTGGCCTCCTGTAACTCAATCCTCTTGCCTCAGCCTCCCGAGTGCTAGGATTATAGGCGTATGTCCAGCTGCCTTTTTCTTTTCTTTTCTTCTTTCTTTTTTTTTTTGGTACCAGGGATGGAACTCAGGACCTTGCGCTTGCAAAGCAGGTACCATTGAGCTAAATCCCCGGGACTGCCTTTTTCTTTTTAAGACTCTGTTTCAGTGAATGAAAGAATTTAAAGAGTTGGCTGGAATAAACACAGTCGTCCCACTCATGCTTGTGCAGTGTTGGGTCCAATTACTATTTCCCATAAGAAGGTCCTTGGATGAGAAGTCCAAGTGTCTAGAGAAGCTTTCTGCATTTTTGTTTTGAGTCTTCATGGTTGTCTCTTCTACAGCTGGACACTGAGTATAGAAAGAAATGGGATGCCCTGGTGATCAAGCTGGAGGTGATCGAGAGGGATTCGGTTAGTGGTTCTGAGGTTCTTCACTGGGTGACCCACTTTCCTGTGAGTATTTTTACTTCTGGTTTTGCTTCTGTTGAGTCCATAGATGCAGAACACTAATCCTCGCCTTTATTTCTTCAGTATCCAATGTACTCTCGTGATTATGTTTATGTGCGGCGGTATAGCGTGGATCAAGAAAACAATGTGATGGTGTTGGTGTCAAGGTAGGTGTGGCTGCTGCGCCCCTTACCCAGTTCCATCACCATGCCTATCACTCGCATGTGCCTGTGAGCTTGCCTGTTCTCCATGGCTTCCTGCAGGCTTCCCAGCACCCAGGTCCCCATCCGGGAAGATGGAAAGCATTCAGGCATGTTTTTTTTTAATCTCCTTTGGGTACTCCAGATTGAACTCTCGACCTTCAAACTGAGCTGCATCACCATCCTTTTTGTTAATACTATTTTTTTTCTTTTCTTGAGGCAGGGCCTCTCCCTTTGTAGTTCAGGCTGGCCCTGAACTCACTATGTAGCCTAGGCTGGCCTTGAACTCAGTGATCCTCCTGCCTCAGCCTCCCGAATGCTGGGATTACAGGCATGCGCCACTATGCCCAGCTGTTAATACTATTTTGATTTAGAGAGGTCTTGCTGAGTTGCTGAGGCTGGGCTCAAACTTGTGATCTTCCTGCCTCAGTCTCCCAGAATGCTCAGACATACAAACTTTTATTTAAAACTTTTCTTTGGTTCTTTAATGTTGGTGTCTTAAAAAGGAAGGCGTCCTGTCATCTTTGACATCTGGTGTAGTGAGCCATATATGACCAGTACCAAAGGGACCCACTTCCTTTTCAGAACTCAGTTTCTAGTCATTCATCGCAGTGACTCTTGTGACTCAATTTTATTTTAAAAGAAGAGTGAAATTTTAGGTCCTGCCACTACCCTTAGCTCCCCTGCTTTATATATATATTTTACTGAGCTTTGGCTTCACCTTTCCTCCCTACCAGGGCTGTCGATCACCCTAGTGTGCCAGAGTCTCCAGAATTCGTCAGGGTCAGATCATATGAATCGCAAATGGTCATCCGTCCCCACAAGTCATTTGATGAGGTGAGTTTGCTTCATCTGTGAGATAATGAGTCATGGCTGTGGCATTTTCTCAAGGAATGTGAGCTAGTTGTGAAGGGGGCTGGAGCTTGTTGCTACACACTGCAGCGCCCTGGGCCTCAGTGAGGTCTGGCTCAGCAGGTCTGGGCTGTGGCTCAAGAGCTTCCACTTTGGAGAAGTGTGCAGCTGAGGCTCAGGCTGCTCCTCTGGGACATGTGGTTGAGCCCTTCTAAGCTGGGAGATTGGCAAGGACATGTAGTGATGATCCCTGGCTCCCTTCGTCTGACAGGCAGGAGGAGGTCATAGCCACTGCCTGGTAAGCCTCCATCTCAGCCTTCTGCAGTAGCTACAGTGAGTACCTTCCACCAGCATTTCACCAAAATGGGTAAAGCGCTGGAAACCTGGATTTCTGCTTCCTTGTCTGTAAAACGAGAGAGCCAGACTCATGCACTCTCCCTTTAAAATTCTGACTTGCTTTAGGAAAGAATACTTGTTTCAGCTTACTGGGTTATTTTGTGTTCTTTTTTTCTTTTGTACCAGGGATCGAACTCAGGACCTTGTGCTTTCGAGGCAGGCGCCACTGAGCTAAATCCCTGGCCCTATTTTGTGTTCTTAACCAAATCCTGTTGAATATACATATTGATGCCAGTGGCTGCCAGTTTTAGTTCTGCTTTACTTTGTAATGGCTTTGTTTCTCCCCATTGTTTTTGTTTGTTTTAAAGCTATGTGGATTGTGTTTTTTCTCATTCTCAAGTTGTTTTATCCACCTGAAGTAGTATTGTGGCAGAGTGTGGTTGACTTCAGACAACATGTTTGACTTTTTAAAAAAACTGGATGATCTTTGTGTTTTCTTGACTGCTATTTTTAGAACAGTATTTTTCAAGTCACATTGCTGCTTGTTAGAGGGAGACATAATTAATGTAGGGCATTATAATCAGTTTTAAAAAGGGTAGATAGCTTAGGAACTGACTGTAATCAGACTTCATGAGACTTATTTGGTTGCATAAATATATGTGAATGTGTATGAGAGGTCGGGGCGATGAATTAGACTGCAAGGATTATTTACAGGGGAAGTAGTTGAAAATGTTTGAAAGTCCCTTGCTTTAGAAGATAACAAAAGAAGTAAGGCTCCTTTTGAAGGCTAGTTACTTTTAAGGGTAGACTGGGGCAAGCAGGGATCAGTGCTTAAATTTGCCTCACTGAATTTTTTGTCATTGTTTATTTGAATCAGGATCTAAATAAGATGCAGACACTAAAATTTGCTCATGCAGTCTTTGTCTTTTTTTTTGAGACAGGATCTTGCTCTAGTTCAGGCTGTCCTTGAGCTCACTGTGTAGCCTAGGCTGGGCTGGGATTACATTCGAACTATGGATGGGATTACAGACCTTCGCCACCACACCCAGCTCAGGCAGTCTTTGAATATCTTTGTTATTTGTGTTTGTTGAACAATCAGGTTTGTTTGTCCTTTACCTTGCCAATTGTGTCCGCCCAGTCTTCAGTGTCCCTTAATTATGATCTTCTGTCCGGTCTTCTTAGGTGTTGGTAGGTAGATTGAAGATTAGGAAAGCTTTAGCTTGGTTGGTTTAGGCAAGGTCACTTCATTCTGAGGCAGATAATGTCTGGTTGTCTCTTTGTGAATTTAGAAGCTATTGATGACATCGATTATTTCATTAGGAATTACTAAATTGATTTTGTAATCTCCTGTCTACAGCAAGTCTAGACTTACAAATGAGTTCCATTCCAGGAGAACATTTGTAAGTCGGATTTGTTTGTAAGTCTGACAGAGTGAGTCTTATACACCTTTGGCATAAATACATAATGTAAAGCATAAAAAAAACCAAACATACATACATATAGTTAGTCCCTGACTGTATTGTACTACTGTACACTATTGCACTGTACAGTAAGCACACAGTAGCACAACTGTGACAATGTGCAGCAGACACATGAGCTACTTTTATGAATGTTGTAATATTAGGTGAAATATGTTAGAGAAAATGTTCCACATCAGCTAGTCAACTAGTTCACATGGGAAAGAGAAATAAACACTTGACTTGTTGCCTTTACTAGCTTTCAGATAAAATGAGTTGGTTCATTCAATTTGGTATCCTCAAAGATAAGTTTTTTTGTTTTGGAAGTATCCTTGGAAACTCACATTTCAACATACTGGATTAGTTTTAATACTTGACAGTTAGTTATTCTTTATTTATTTAATTAATTTATTTTTTTGGTGCCGGGAATTAAACTCGGAACCTTGCACTTCCGAGGCAGGTGGCAGCACCAATGAGCTAAATCCCCAGCCGACTTGACATTACTTTTGATGACTCATATTGATTCTGTTTTTGGCTACTGGGGGGGTTTCTTGTTGGTTCAAGTCTTCCTGACAAGGGCCTGGAAGCTTTCTTGCTTTTTGATGTTAGAAGGTGTTTCAGGATCATCTTGCATAGTTTTAGGTCTAAACCTGGAAATTAGCTTTTCCTTAAGGAGTCCTGGTTCCTTTAAGTGGAATATGGTGCTTAGATACCACAGTTTGCTGCTAGGATTATTATAGCTATTAATTAGGTTATTCTTTTTTAGGCCCTTTCAGAAGATAGAACTAAGTAACAAGTTTTGTATGTTTACTTTTTTTTTTTTTTGCAGTATGGGGCATTTAACCCAGGGCCTCATGCATGCTAAGCACTCTACCACTGAGCTATATCCCTAGCCCCTTCTTATTTTCTTTTGGTTTCTTTTTTTATTTTTAATAGGTACATAATAATAGTAATTATACATACTTATGGTATCCAGTGTGACTTCGGAACATGTGTACAATGTGTAATGCTTATATCAGGGTAATTGGCACATTGGTCCTCTCATTTTTTTGTGTTGAGAATGTTGAAATCTTCTCTATTAGCTATTTTAAAATATACAATTGTTGTTAACTGTGCAACAACATTGGAAATTACTCTTTCTATCCACCTGTATCCCTGTACCTGTTAACCATCTTCCATAGGTTCTTTTTTTTTTTTTTTTTTCCCAGTGCTGGGAATTGATCTCAGGGCCTTGTGCTTGCCAGGCAGACATCCCCAGCCCTCCCATAGGTTATTTTCCATTTACTTTGGGTTCTTAGGTATTGCTTTTAAAATTTTATTATTTTAATTATGGAAAATAGTTGTTTGCAAAGTTAAATCTATAAATGACTATTCAGGGTAATTTACAGTATATCCATTCCTGTTTCTTCTACCCAGTCCTTCTTCTTATAGTAACCATTGTTTTCATTTTTGGCTTCTTTTTTTTTTTTTTTTGTACTGGGGATCGAACTCAGGACCTTGCACTAGTGAGGCAGGCGTCGTGCCACTGAGCTAAATCTCTGGCCCTTGGGTTCTTTTTTATAGCACAAGCAGTGGTGGATAAGAATCCAGGTCTCTTGATTTCCCAGGGCAAGTGTTTTAGGGTAGAATAATTTGGTCTTTTACTCTTGCATCTACTCATTTCTTCTCTAAACAGCCTTTGGGCTAGGCACAGTTACTTTTCCTATCTCACGGGTTTCCTTCCCCTCCTCTGCACGGCTTCAGTGCAGCTGTGTCTCTGGCAGGACCTTTCATCTTAGTAGTCAGGAGCTCCCCAGGGGCAGGGACTGGAGCACACTTGTTTCCTCTAAGCATCCAGCATGGTGCTGGGCACACAGAAGACAATCAAGGATGTTTTGAATAAAAGATTCAACAGTACAATTTGTAGGGGGAAAAAAAAATGGACTTTGCTGTGAAAGCTGGGACTTAAAGCTGGAGGTCTGGCACCTGTAGTTGTGTCCCGTCTCCTGTAAAAATGTGTGTGTATAATATACAAAGTGGGTCCTTCTCATTCCTTCAGGTGAACACAGTGCTTTAGATGTCTATTAGGATCAGGACACCCTGACCATCCTTAAATCCTATGTTCTTTGCTGTGTTGGATAGTGGAAGGCTGAGCCCAAGAGACAGTAGATGCACAGGCCCTGTGGTTCTCAGTGCTCTCGCTGAGTATGTGGGTGACACTGGGCAGAGTTACTTAGTAAGCCTTTTTGTGTTCAGTTTCCTCATCTGTAAAATGGGGGGGCGGATTATTGTGCCTACACCATAATAGGATTGTGGTAAGGAATCGAAGGCATTCTTGGCACATAGTGTTATAAATGTTTGTTGTTACTGTTTGTACAAAGGGGGGAAGTAGAGCAGGGGATTTAGCTCAGTGGCACTGAACCTACCTGGCAAGTAGAAGGTCCTGAGTTCGATCCCTAGTACCAAAACAAAAGAAAACAAAACAAAGGGAGGAAGTGGTAAAGAATTCAGGTCTTTCAGCTGTAAGCATTGGCGCTATGTGTTGTGGGTCCCCAGGTTTACCCTCATGCTTGCAGATCTCCTGGAAGGACACTCAGGACTCTGCATGTGTTTTATGACTGTGACATGGTCATTGCATAGCTAGGCTAGCCTGGAGGACCTGGAGGAGCCTACGTGGGCCTTCCTTCCTTGTCAGTGAGATGGATGTGTAATGCCTCTGACAGGAACCCTGGTGGACTCAGCACCTGATTTTTTTTTTTTTTTGGTACGAGGATTGAACTCAGGACCTTGCGGTTGCTTGCGAGGCAGGCGTGGTGCCACTGAGCTAAATCCCCAGCCCAGCACTTGATGTTTTTAATGGGAGATGGTCACATTGCACCCTTCCCTGGGCGTGTGCTGCCATTCCAGGCCCCCAGCAGGAAAGCCTGTGGTGAACAGGAGCCCCATGCCAGTTAACTGTTGCCTGGGACCATGGCCACCCAGATGGCCAGAAGTCAGCCTGTCTCCTAGGCCTCCAGGATGGAAAGAAAACCACTTCTTGCACAGCAGAGTCACCTCCTGGTTATTTCTTGGTGCTGGGTGTGGTGGTGTGGGTAAACTTCTTGCTGTTTTTCTTCTCCAGAATGGCTTTGACTACCTGTTGACATACAGTGACAATCCCCAGACTGTGTTTCCTCGCTACTGTGTGAGTTGGATGGTTTCCAGTGGTAAGTAGGAATGTGTGTACAGGGCCTAGAGCCTGGGTCGAGCATTTTGGTTTTTTTTTTTCCATCTTCTTTTTTTGAGGCTGGGACTCACTAGCCCAGGCTGGCCTCAAACTCCTGGTGATCCTCCTGCCTCAGCCTCCTAAGTGCTGGGATAATAGGCGTGTGCTACCACACCCAGCTTCTCCATCTTCTTGATGGCAATAGGAGAGTGTGTACTTGATTTAGAGTCCTTTTGGGGAAATTCCCTCTCCACAATTCATAGTAGCCTCCAGGTGGGACTTGAAGGGATGAGAATTACAGGGTTCCAGAAAGTAGATTGTACCCAGAGGAAGAGTTTTTTTAATTTCCTAATACCAGGGATCGAACTTAAGACCTTGTGCTTGCAAGGCAGGCATGGTGCCACTGAGCTGCACCCCTGGCTAGAGGAAGAGATTTAAAAACATTTGCTGTAATCCCTTAGAGACCATGTATAGTAGTGTTGGCGAATTTTTTCTTGGCTGGGTGTGGTAGTGCATGCCTATAATCTCTGGGATGGTAAGCAAATGGGAGGCTGAGGCAAGGAGGATCACTAGTTTGAATCTAGCCTGGGCAATGTAGTGAGACCCTGTGTTAAAGTACAAAATAAATACAAAAAGGCTGGGAATGTAGCTTGGTGCTGAGGCCCTTGGTTCAATCCCCAGTACCACAAAAAAAGAAAAAAAATTTTTTCAGTGTTTAAAGCTATAACATCTGGCCTGGAGATGTGATTGTGGAACAGTCCCCAGGGAACAGGCTGCCACCAGTCTTAAAGGCTATGTGTGTGTCATAGCTGTAACTGCACCTTCCCTTCCCAGATTCTTGTCTTAGAAAGCACTCTTCTATGATTTTTCTTTCTTCTGGTTTTCTATGTGCTGTATCTTATGCTTGAGGGGATGGAGAGAAGATTAGGTATAGTATTTCTATATGACATTTGTTTAAATTAAATCAGCAGCTATTTTGACTGTGCCACTGATGAGTGGTATTTTCATCACTTTAAAATTTGGGATTTAAGTGACCTGATCACAGTTCCTCTTTTCAAGGGATCAGAGGTCATAGGTGTTTTTTAGAAATTAAAAAAAAAAAAATTTTAATACAGGGCAGCACCTAATGATTACTTTCCTCATGCGGAGTTAGTTCAAGTACATAACACATCTTCATTCTTTTTACATCCCCTTCTCTTCCCCCTCTGGTTTCATAACCCATGTGCAGGGAACACGTTCTGGGAGGTAGCTGTCACTTGCAGGTTGTCATTCAGGCTCCTGTCCCCAGTGAGGAAGAGCTGACTGTCTGCCATCAGAGGGGGTCGGGGGGCTTCAAGTTTCGAGCCTCCAGTTGGCCTGTATGGCAGCCTAATTCGATTTTGGTGTCTGCCAACAGGCATGCCAGACTTCCTGGAGAAGCTGCACACCGCCACTCTGAAGGCCAAGAACATGGAGATCAGAGTGAAGGACTACATCTCGGCAAAGCCTCTGGAAGTGAGCAGTGAGGCCAAGGCCACTGTCCAGGCCTCTGAGCGGAAGAGCGAGGGCAGCTGCGGCCCGGCTCGCATCGAGTATGCCTGAAGGGCCATGGGATGAAAAAGGACAGGCGCTCCCAGCCCTGTCTCAAACCCTTATCACTGCTGCAGCATGGGGACAAGCCACAAGTATTGGAAGGGATCTTCAGGAATGACCAGTGCAGGACCATCTGTCTGATGACTGGTGTCTGGTGTCATTCAGAGCCCTGCTGTGCTCTGTCAGAGAGAGGGTGGCGTCCATCCATGGAGGCCTTGTGTTCTCAGGCTTATCATCCTGAAATTCAATATTTCACTGAGCTCGCCCAGAACAACCGTTGCTTCTCAGGCTGAAAGGGGATGTCACTTGCCTCTGAGGAGTTTCCTCATGACATTCCAAACTCTGCTGATGGCTGTCGGTTGTGCAGCACTTTGGGCTGCCTCCAACCCTGCAGGTCACCTGGGAAGCGTGGCTGGTGGAGGCTTCTCATGAGGGGTCACGGGCAGTGCTCTTGGTAACAGTCCTGGTGCGAATGGGTGTGAACGATACATGGCCATGCCAAGTGCCTTGTCCTCACCTTGCTTTTATCTTTAGGACGCAAAAGTTTGTACCAAGACATTTCTCTTGTAAAGTACACCCTGCTGACTGAGCAGTCCCCGAAGATCCCCTTGAGCCAGCCAGTGGCGTTCCTGCACTGTGTACCAGATCATTGCCTCCTACCCAGCCTTAGGATGTTTACCAGGAACACTGGAGCTGCACCCTCCCAGACAGGCGCTTCTGTGTCATCGGTGTTGATAGGGCCAGTGGAAATGTTCACAGCATCACATTAAGATTCAATTTAGGGCCAGGGATTTAGCTCAGTGGCACCACGCCTGCCTGGCAAGCACAAGGTCCTAAGTTCATTTCCCGGTACCAAAAATAAAGATAAATTCAACTTAATTTTTTTTTTTTCTTTTTTCCTTTTTCTTTTTTTGGTACCGGGGATCGAACTTAGGTCCTTGCACTTGCGAGGCAGGCAGTGGAACCACTGAGCTAAATCCCTGGCCCACAAATATTTTAAAATATTTGTGTCAAAAAGGAGTTGAGTGAGATTTCTCCTCAGTCCCGCTGTGAAAAGTTTTGGTTCAGGCATTGTTTCCCCCACTTCAGGGTTGACTTGTCCTCCTTGGAAGGCTGATGGCAGAGGAGTGGCCTGGGCCTCCGGGAATGCTCAGAGCCGTGGGCCAGCCCTGTGGGCAGATAGATGGAATCTTGCCCAGACAGTGACAGAGCTCGGATATGGCGTGTGTGATCCTCTTGTTGCTCTAAAAAGTTTTTCTTCTCTCTAGAGCTGAAATAAAGGTAGGATAAGGTCATACCCAAATGGTATTGGCTTGGTTTCACTGGTTTTGCTTGTGGTCATGTTGCAGTCTCTTGGGAGAATAGGGATCAAGTTTTAAATCCTCCCTCTTCTGGAGTTTAAATGGCTGTTTCCCCTTTTTTTCCTGCTTGCTACCCTGTTTTGTTGAAAAAGGAATCTAAACCAGAGACTAATTTAAGCCCCTCCTTGACCTTGTTGCCTGTTCAGTTTTGTGCCAAGGACTAAATAACTGCGCCAGGGTTTGTCGCCCTGTTGGGGTGGATGGCAGAGCAGACCTGCAGCGAGAAGTCCTCTCCTCATAGGACCTAACCGAAGCCTGGAAGAGTCCACATTCTGTCCGAACTCAGTGCCTGTGGTTGTGAGTGGGTGTGCACGCGAGTGTGTGTGTCTGTGCGAGTGTGTGCACAGGTGCTTGGCATTTGTGGTCACCCTTGTTCTCAGTCATTTGATTCTGTACCGTTACTTCTGTCATTGTAATTTCACTCCTAACTGTGACATTTTTATCAAATTTGTGAATAAATATATAAAGATTGGTACAAAACAGTATTTGTCTTTGGACAAATGGGGAAATCCTACATGCCAGGCGTGTGTTTCTTCCTGACCCCAGGTGTGAAGAGTGTCCTGGGAGTTGGATGGTGAGGTGGCCAGGCTGGTGCCACCAGCCACCTTATCTAGACTGCAGGTCCTTTCTAGGTGCCAGCTTGGCAGCTAACAGTGTCCACTTCATGTCTTCATCCACTGGCTCATGTGTGTCCTCGGTGGGTAAGCTTTGCCTAGGTGACATCTGTTTGTTGTATACTTTTTCATGTATGAAACTGCCACTATCTTTGTGTCACCAGGCAAGCTTTTGAGCTTGGGCACCCAAATCCATTTTTCCGCAAACCTGGAAGTGGCGTGTGGTTTTGCGCAGTTTGACTTAGGAAGTGTTGGCGGCAGGGACTGTCCTGGGACTGGAGGACTGTACTCAAGTGTCCTGAGGTATCTGTGGCCTGGGTGGGCTTGCTGTCTCATAATTCACATGGCCTTATTATGAAGTTTTCACTTTGAAAATGTCCAGATATATTAAAAAGCTGGAATGATTTTTTAAAACTGCTTTGTACCACCCTTCCCTACCCTTACTGGTTGTTAATTTGTGCTTGCTCTTTGTATGCTTTTTGTGTGTGTGGTACAGGGAAGTGAGCTCAAGGCTTTTGCACTGAGCTACATCCCCAACCCATTTTTATCTTTTTTGAGACAGGGTCTCTCCAAGTTGCCCAGGCTAGACTTGAATTTGTGATCTTGCCTCAGCCGCCAGGGTGCCAGGATTACAGGAATCCACTACCATGCCTGGCTAATCTTTGTATACCTTTTCGTGATCATTTGAATGTTAAGTTGCAAAGATATTTCACCCCCTCAACATAGAGCATTGCTTTTTTTGCCGGGGGGGTACTGGGGAATGAATTCGGGACCTTGTGCTTGTGAGGCAGGAAGCAGCACCACTGAGCTAAATCCCTGGCTGAGTGTTGCTTTTTATAAGGGTATTACAGCAGCATTATCACGTAAGAGAAATTAGTGTCACAGTGTCTGATAATGCAGTTAATATTGGAATTTCCCCAGTTGTCTATTGTCCAAATGACCTGTTTGTGGGTACCAAGGATTGTACCTAGGGCCTTCCCACTGAACTACATCCCCAGCCCTTTTTATTTTCTGAGATGAACATCTTACTAAATTGCTTGGGTTGGGTTCAAACTTTCGATCCTCATGCCTCAGTCTCCTGAGTAGCTGGGATTATAGAGGTATGTACCACCTTGCCCAGCCCGAATGATTTTTATAGCCTCCTCCATTCTTGCTCAGTTAAGTACTACATTTTGTGCTTGTCTCTAGACTTTTTAAATCTAGAACTACCCTACCTGTTGAACCTTCACCTGTGCTTCCTGTGGAGCAATGTAGGCTTGGCTGCACCTGGGACCTTCGCAGACTCCCAAAGCCTCGGTCCCTCCTGGGCTAGCAGCATCTCTCTCTCAGATAGTTGTACCACCTAAGGTGAATATATTGCTTGTTGAATGTGAGACAGAAATAAAACGGGCTGCAGTCTCCTATGTGTGCAAGCTCCCTGTCATTTCACATTGAGCTCAGATCAGCCAATAATAGGTGTCCTTTCTGAGGCCTTGGTGTGTCAGGCTCTGTGCTTTACACTTTCTTTTTTTCTTCAGTTTTTTGAGACAGTCTTGCTATGTATTCCAGGCTGGCCTTCAACTTTTATGTAGCCTCGGCTGCTGATCCTCCTGAGTGCTGGAATTACAGGTGTGGGCCACCACACTGGCTCTGTGCTTGACACTTTGGATCCTACAGCTCTGTCAGGGTATAGCAAGCCTTGTGTAGGTGAGGAAGTGAAAGCCGAGGTTAAGTAATTTCCTTGCTCAAAGGCACACAGGAAGTGAGGTAGGGCCAGGATGCTGACCTGGCTTTGACCTCTGAAACACCTGCAGCATAGCTTAAAACTGAAGTTAGTTTCTCATAAACACAGGGCTGTGTTCTGTCCCCTGGTGCAGGCAACTTGTTTGAAAGCTTGGATCAGTGGCTGACTTATGCGCCTCACACCTGCTCTGGGTGCTTGGGTGCTGGAGCTTTCCCTCCTGCATCGGCATTTCAGGCCTGTTTGTGAGGAGCTGAGGTACCACTGTTGTTTTTCTCCTGAGAATTTCAGGATGTCACACTCGACACATGGTGTTACAGAAGGAGATGGGAAAGTACGCAGGGACATTTCCTAAATACTTAATTTCAAAATGACCACTCTGAGACACAGAAGTCAAAATTCTTAGAGTGAAAGCACTCTTTTTTTTTTTTTTTTTTGGTGCAGGGGATCGAACTCCTGACCTTGTGCTGGTGAGATAGGCATGCTGCCACTGAGCTAAATCAGTGGTCTGAAAGCACTCTTAAAATCTGATAGCTAAGATTTCTAATGAAAATGCTTAAAAGCCTCAAGAATGAAACGTGTATGGAAGACAGTGGTCTTAATGTAAAGTGTGTTGTCTCCACACCGGAGCATCAAAAAACCCTGGGTTCTAGTCACAGTCAAGTCACTTCCGTAACCTTTCAGCTGACTGTGGCCACAGCTGTCAATAACGAACAAATGACCTGCACTTACCATCTACTTCTAAAGAGCCTAGACCCACTTAAGGAGGGCGAATGTTTGGAAGCAGTGCTTTGTGGGTGTTTCCGAAGTTAGTGCAGATGGGAGTTAGGGTTGTGTTCCACCCCAAGGGGTAGGAACCACAGCGTGGTGAGAATGAGGTGTGGGCCTCCTGCTCCTGCTCACCCCTAACAAACTCTTCCCCCTGGATCTCAAGGGATGGGACCCAAGCATGCCATGTTTTCAAAGTTCCCAGGGACCCAAATGTGCAGCACAGTAGAACCTCAAGTTACAACTGGCCTGACATAGAAACATCATGGGTTACGACCAGAATGTTAGCTTTAATTTATGACCAAAGTCTTGAGTTATGACCTCAATGCCAGCTGCTTGTGCTTTCAGATGGTCTCAGATACAAATTGAACCCTTAAAGAGCTCTGGAAGGAACATTACAACATCCTTTCCTGTGGTGTTAACTGAGAAATCCTGGGCCAGTGTCTCTAAAGACACAGACATTACAGGACAGAGACTTTGAAGGCTGTGTAGAGGAGTCTGAGCCTTCAATCGAGCAACTTGAGTTACAACAAGCCCTCAAAGAATTGAATTTGTAAGTCAAGGGTCAACTGTACTTGGGAAGCACTGGGGAAGTGGTTGAAAGCCCAGGCTCTGGAGTTGGAGCTGAGAGTGACCTTGCATGAGGTAGTGGATCTGGGTCTCTTTCCTCATTTGGGAAAGGAGTTAGCGTGTCCATCTCATAGGATTGCTGTGAGAATTAATGTACAGCTGATCTCGAACAACTCAGATTAGGGGCACTACCCCTGTGCAATTGAAAACCCACATGTAACTTGACTCCCCCAAAACTTATTAGCCTGCTGTTGACTAGAAGCTTGTGGGTAGCAGAGCTGATGTACACGTATTTTGTATGTTACTTGTATTACAGTAAAAACCACAAAAGAAATGTAAGAGGTTGCTTTCTTACTGCAGTACACCACTTCCTAGAGACATTGCTCACCTAGTGATCAATGTCACAGCATTTTAGGCAGATTCAACACTGGAGCCTCCCCAGGGGCAACAGGAGGTGGCAGCAGAGTCACCACAGTGAGAGCTGTGATTTGATACTACATTGGTACCTTTTGGTTTGTTACATTTCTGTTCACTGTGAGTGGTGTCCTGTGCAGTGTATGCATGGAGGTTTTGATAAATTTTAACTTTATAATTTGTGTATATCTTAGTAGTAAATAAGACTATATATATTTATATGCTTATGACATTTCCTTTTTCCAGTGTTTCTAGGCCATGAATTTCATCTGTGAGTTTTTTCAAATTGTCACAAATTCCAATAGACAGGCACACAACGCACACACATACACACATGGACCCATAGTTCAGCCCCATGTGCAAGTCATGTGTACTTAGACTGGTACAAAGACATAGCACTCAAGATAGTTGAACTGCCTTATTTTCTCTTGGTGTTCCTGGAACAGTGTGTCACTGTCCTTCCACAAATGTGGGTCCCTCTGTCCCCTGAAAGGTGAGCACCAGAAAGGGGACAGCTGTGCTCCCAGTGCCCCTGAAGGAGGCCCCACCATCATGTCTGGTCCCCTGTGGGGACAGCAAGGGGGAGGAGAACGTCCCCTTTCTGTGCCTCCCTGACACACACCATCTCAGTCTCCATCTATTTCAGACAGCTATGTGTCCAGTTAAGGTTTGCTGGGAAAAAGGGGAGAGTAGAAATGAGGACAACAGGCAGGTTTTGCCAAATGACAGACAAAAGTAACTTTCAATCACTTCAAAAGACTGACAGTTTCAGTGGTAAAAACCAAAAATGCCACTATTTTCAGTAAATTACCGAGAATTGAGTACATATTCTAGAATTTTCCTCAGCACGCACATCAAGTCAGTTGCTCTGTAATACTGGGCTTACACCCTGTCTATGGGAGCCCTAGGGCCTCCCTGATCTGTGGCAGCTGTCTGTCCCTCAGGACTGTGCCCCTTGCTGCGGATGCAGCCCTCTGTGGCCTCCATGCCGGGAGTTGCACTCTCAGGCCTGTTCACTTCTGCCTCATTTCTGGCTCTTTGTGTCCGACCCTTGTTTGTTTGTCTTTTTGTTCCCTGGCCTGCTTCTGCTTTCTGAACACATGCCCTGTGCTTCTGTCACCTGCTCTGACCGCTCTCTCTCAGAGCACGAGTGTCATTAACACAAGTGTCCATGTCCTTTTGGTTCCCATCTGCAAGTGGCTGTAGTCGCCTAGGCTGTTGCTCCGCAGCTGGAGGTCAGTACTCATTTGAAAAGTGGGAGTGATGGGAGAGGAAGAAAGAGTGTACATATTTGGGACTTCATGACTTAATTTCCTCATTTAAAACGTCACAGTCTTCCTTTTGCATCAGAAGATAGGGAAGTGGCAAACTATGTGGAAGCTTTGAGGCAAGGTCAGGGTGTGCACTGAGGTGACTGCAGATTGGCTATCCCTGAGCAGGCTGCATCCCAGGCCCTGACCTTCAATCTTCTGGGCTCAGAAACCCAGCATGGCAGAGACCAGCCCTGATGGGATCCAGGGTCTCAACATTTATGGCACAAATGCTTCAAGAAATGGGCCTTCAGTGTGAGTCAGGCCTTGATAGCTGGACCAGGGTCAGCTCTGCTGTAAGTGAATAAAGCACACAGGAGCCCAGTGTCGTGGGCTCTGTGGTGACAGTGTAATCGGGGGCATCTGCTCTGCCCTGTTGCCCATGACCTTCCCTGAGCCTGTGAGTGCCTGGGTAGCAAGATGGGCTTTTCCGATGTTCTCTGCTTGTTTGGGCTTGGGGCCCGTCAGGATGTGGGTGCAAATGTGTTTCGGATTGCGTTTCTCTAGTGAGGGCTGCAGCCACTCTTTGAACAAATGCTGTGTCTAACAGAAGTTACTGCAAGAGGGCATCGAGGGCAGCACTTTTCATCATGAAGTTCAAAGGCTGAGGATTTGCACATGTCACACAGCTCTTCCTTGGTCTGCCTGGGTCCTGCACCTTGGTCCACTGGGATCCATCATGTTTTCTGTTTCACTGTGCAATTTCTTCGTAAAGATTTTGCTGAAATCTTTCAAATTCAGTGTGCATCCTGAAAAATACTCTTAACTACCCTAAAGGCGTCCCAGGAGGGGTATGATAGGTAGTAATTAGCTGCTGCCAACAAAGCACTAGAGACTAAGTGGCTTACATGACAGAAATTTTTGTCTCCCATGCAGTTCTGAGGAGGGAGGTCTGAGATCAAGGAGTAGGAACCATTGGTTTATTCTGAGACCAAAGAGAATATTCCAGGCTTCTCTCCCAGCTTCTAGAGATGCCTGGCAATATTTGGGAACCCTTGGGTCTAGAAGCATCATCTAATCTCTGCCTTCTTAGCCCTGTGTATGTGTCTTGTCCAAATCCCACTTTTTGTAAGGACATCGGTCTTACCCTATTTCAGGATAACTGTCTTATTTTATCTGCTATGACACTCTTTTTAAATAGGGTCACATTTTAGGATACTGGGGATTAGATCTTCAACACATGAATTTTGGGGGAACACAGTTCAACCCATAGCATGGAGAGATCTGTAGAAAACTAATTTAGGAAAAAACTTTTCAAAATAAATGTCTGGAGGCCGCTGTCCCAGCCTGAGATCTGAAAGACCTCCCTCTGGCCACCTGGCCTGCAGCTTCAGGGTCAGGCAGCAGGGGTCAGTGCTGTACCAGGGCTGGAACCTCTTCCCTCTCAGGCTGCTGAGAGGACAGGTCCGTATGGGTATTGGGGTTTTTTTGTTTTTTTGGTACCGGGGATCGAATTCGGGACCTTGCGCTTGCTAGGCAGGCGCCAGAACCACTGAGCTAAATCCCCAGCCTGGGTCTTGGCTTCAACTTGAATCCTGTGAATAAATAGGATGAAGCAGGTCAGAGGACCACAGCCTGTGTGGGTGGAGAGGACGTTGGTGGGAAGAGAGGTTTGTCTCTTTGGGCAGCTGGGACATTGATGGGCTCCCGAAAGGTGACCGGGGTGTTTTTATGGGGGACAGACAGATAACACAGCTGGAGATAACGAGGTGCAGCACTGATCTGCCTTCCTACTTCTAGTAGAATTTCCAGTCTAGGTCAGCTCTTGCAGACCTGGCCCGGACTGGGAGTTAGAGAGGAGGCTCCTGCCCTCCTTTTGTAGCTGTGCTTGTCAGCTGTATTTCAGTGCCTGGACAGAACACAGGGAGGTGGCAATTGGCAGGGATTGCTGAGTGCCCAGATGTGCTTGATGGCTTCCAAAAGGATGAAGCAGTGAAGAGATGACAACAAAGGAGACTAAATTAAACAGCTCATGGGCCGGGGATTTAGCCCAGTGGTTCCGTCGCCTGCCTCGCAAGCGCAAGGACCTGAGTTCGATCCCCGGTACCAAAAAAAATTTTTAAAAAATAAAATAAAATAAACAGCTCAGCACCTGTGACCAGTGGAGACTCAGACCACACGGCCGGCTGGTGTGACCCGTGACCATCTTCACAGGCCATTGAGCCATTGCCAACACATTTGCCTCAGCTCTGCATCCCTGAGAACATCCTCCTCCTCCCTGGCCTTTGTTTCTCCCAGTGATGATTCACTGATTACTAAAGCAATGCACATACCCATTTATAGAACATAATTTTTTTTTTTAAAGCTGCAGGCTGTGTCACCCCTGTAATCCCAGCATGAGGCAGGAGGATCACAAGTTCAAGTCCAGCCTGGGCAACTTAGCAATTTAGGGAGATCTACCCACCCCCCAATACTGAGGATCAAACTCAGGACCTCACACTTGCAAGGCAGGTGTGGTGCCACTGAGCTAAATCCCCAGCCTGGGAGATCTTGTCTTAAAATAAAAATATTAAGGGGCCAGGGATTTAGCTCAGTGGTTCTGCCACTTGCCTCGAAAGTGCAAGGACCCAAGTTTGATTCTTGGTACCAAAAAAAATAAAAATAAAAAAAATATTAAAAAGGGGCTAGGGATGTAGTTTACTGGGAAGGCCCTGAATTCAATCCCCAGTACTGCAAAAAAAAAAGAAAAAAAAAAGGAAAGAAAGAAAGCAAAAGGAAAAAAGTATCATCCATACAACTCAGGGAATCAGTGTCTTTTTTTCTATCTTATATCTATCTGTACACATTTTTTCTTTTTCCTTATAGCTTTATCTAAACATTCATGTACATAACTTCTTTGTTTTGTTTTAAAAAACTAGTTCTTACAAGTTGGTAGTGAAACCTCCCCAGCCCTTTCCCCTCTGGGACACAGTCAAGTGTCAACCCTCCCTGGGCATGACATGCACATTAGAATCAGGATCTCCCTGGTCCTTCCCCTCCCTGCACCTGTACCCTCCTCCCAGAGTACTCAGAGCTAATCACACCAGGGGTGTTCACTTGCACTGTGACTCACGGACTAGACAGACACCAGGACTCCTGCCTTGTGCAATGTTTTGTTTTTCTGGAGCAAGTCCTTGGCTTCTCATTTGTCTAGTTTATTGTTTTCTTGCAATTAATCCAACCCCACCCTCTCTGCCACTTGGAATCCCCAGTATTCAGGGGCAGTGGGTGTGACGTTCCCACCTGCTGAGGACATCTGGGCAGATGGCGGCCCTTTCCCTCCACCTGGGTCTCCTTCTTGGGCTGTCCATGTTCCCTGTGTCTCTGCTCTTTTTTTTTGGTGTGTTTCCTCATTGATTGCCCAAGGAGAAGAGGTTCACCCAGGTACCACTAGAGATCCTCCTATGTTGGATAATTCACCTGTGTACAGAAATAGCAGCTGGACAATCTCTAGCTGTTGCTGGCTGCCAGGCGTATGCACTCCTGTGTTCTCAGTACCTGCAGCCGCTGTTGATGGCACGGAGGTGCCTCAGGCTCATATGCACCTCTGGCCCACCACACACTTCATGCTGTGAGCCACCATTATGGTGAAGCTTGTAAAGGCTGGTGAAAATTAAGGTGACCCCAAGAAGATGA